CAATTCTTCCGGGAAGCCGTTCCAAAAATTGTGTCACTCTGGTAATTTGTACCCATTTATCCTAAAGAGCATTTGGGAGGTACTGATGTTGGAGAAGAAGACCTGGCTTGCAATTGCCATTCCAATTCATCCAAAAGGTCTTGAGTAGGGTTAAGGTCAGGACTCTGCGCAGGGCAATCAAGTTCCTCCACACAAACTAGTCCAGTGGAGTCCTTATACAGCTGGATTTGAGAAGAGTCATGGTGGAACAGAAAAGAGCCTTCATCAAACTGTTACCATGAGGTTGGAGAAGACCTGGTTTGAAATTGGAGTTCCAATTCATCTAAAAGATCTTCAGTAGGGTTGAGGTCATGGCTCTGTGCAGGACAATTCAGTTCCTTCATACCAAACTGGTCCAATCATGTTTTTATGGAGCTGGCTTAGTACACAGTGGACAGTCATGGTGGAACAAAAAAGGGCCTTCATCAAACTATTACCATGAGGTTGGAGAAGACCTGGTTTGAAATTGGCATTCCAATTCATCCAAAATATCCTCAGTAGGGTTGAGGTCCGGGCTCTGTGCAGGAGACTTAAGTTCATCTAAACCAAACTGCCCAATCAGCCAAAAGAGCATTTGTGAGGTCGGGAACTGAGGTTGGTCAAGAAAGACCTGGCTTACAAACAGCCTTCCAATTCATTCTAAGTGTCTAATAGGGTTGAGGTGAAGGCCACTTGAGTTCCACCACAACAGACTCATCAAACCATGTCTTTATGGAGCTGGCTTAGCACACAGTGGACAGTCATGTTGGAACAGAAAAGGGCCTTCACCAAACTGTGACCATGAGGTTGGAGAAGTTAGAGAGGTTGGAGAAGAAGCCCTGGCTTGAAATTAGCATTCCAATTAATGTTCTCTCTGGAGTGACCAATCACGCTTCTCTGTCTGGCAATCCGATGGGCGTGTCTCGGTTTGGCGGTTGCCAGGAGAACGGTACTTGCCTGACTGCATTGCGCCAAGTGTAAAGTTTGGTGGAGGGGGGATTATGG